CAGCACTGACCCTCCGACAGCGCGGCGCTCCCTCAGCACTGACCCTCCGACAGTGCAGTGACAATGAGAAAATCTCTCTAAACATCATTGATGTTAAAGAGGGAATCACTGATGCGCTTTTAACAAATACAATACTTACATTTATGTAGCACCTTTAGAATAATAGAAGCTCCCCACTTCATTTGTAGAAGAATCAGTGAACAAGATTTGACTCTATCATTTAAATGCTTCAGACAGATGGACAATAGTCTAGTCTGAGACAGAGACAGGGGTGGGATTAAGGAGCATATGAAAGGAAGTGTGTGTGGCTGAAAGGATATAGGACAGAGTAACTGGGCACCTTTAGTGGGGCAAGTGTCGAGATTGTTTGTGATGGCTCAGATGAGGCTCCCAGTTCTGCAAACAAACACCTCAGATTTGACTCTGTGTCTCTGCAGGCAGTCCTGTCGAGCTTACAAGATGACACCATCAGACGATGAGCTGTACCAGCGCACCAGAGTGAATGCTCTGGAGCGAGAGTCACTCAATACTCTCTTCATTGATGGCTACAGCAAGCTTGGTTTCACCATCAATGGGAACCGAGTTTTTGGCCCATGTGCAGTGATCCCACAGGCACTACTTCAGTGGAATGTGAGTATTGAGTTGGATTTTGAGGAAATGAAATTTTAATGAATTCTCGCAAGTAGGGTTCAGTGCCATTTATTCTCTTTAATTGGAAGTGGACAAAAATAATTATTAATACTAACGTCGTGTACACGTAAACATTGCAGGGAATTAACAGGTTTAATAACAATCAAGCTGCCTGGCCTTTTTAAGGACCATTTGAGAGTACCCCCTCCCCCTGCCCTTCAAGGCATAGACAGAAGTGGCTGATCTATCAGCCGTGATTATTGACTGATTGACACTGTGATAAGAGGATTACTGGTGATCTGACCCATTGGGGTAGAAACAGTAAAATCAGTCTGTTTTCCATCATTGATACTCTAGACTGTGATTGGGGTAATTCGTGGCCATAATGTGTCTTGTTTGACCTCAGGGTATGATCCTAGTGGGCAGCTGTTTCAAGTCAGTTAAGAATCAGATGGAAGAGCTAACACTCTGGTGTGTTTTTTTTTTGTTTTCTCTATCTAGGTTGGAAGTTACAAAGACATCACGGAGGATAGCCTTGCTCTGTTTTACATGTTGGAACCCAAAATTGGTAAAAAAAAATATTCATTGTCTCACTGGAAACAATTTATCAAAGGAGCAGTGGTTACTTTGTGAGGACAGATATATAAGAACTTGGTAAAAACTAAAAACTGTGGATGCTGTAAATCAGGATAAAAAACAGAAGTTGCTGGAAGCTCAGCAGGTCTGGCAGCATCTGTGGGGAAAAAAAAAAGAGTTAATGTTTTGGGTCTGGTGACCCTTCCTCAGAACAGTGTTACTGGACCTGAAACATTAACTCTGATTTTTTCTTCACAAATGCTGCCAGACCTGTTGAGCTTCCAGCAACTTCTGTTTTTGTATGTAAGAACTTGGTATATGTTTTGTTTAGTTTTGAAGACTGGGGTTTGGGGAAGAATCAGGAACCTCACACTGCATTTTTCTGTGTAACACTGTGTGTACATTAGACAGACTAGGGCCTACCTCTGAGCCAGAAAGCACAGGTTCAAGTCCCACTTACTCAAATGGTGTGCTGTAGCAATTCTGTGTATGTGATTAAAAATACCAACGCACTGCTGTGGTTCAAGAAGCAGCTCACTATCACCATCTCCAGGGCAGTTATGAATGGAAAGTATATACTAGGAATATCAGTAACACCATAAAAGGAATCTACTAATTCCATGTGCTGCTCTTCCTGTCTCACCAGCTGGATTCTGTTATGTTGCAGAGATTCTGGTTTTGGGGCTAGGTGAGAGAATGCAGAGGCTGGACCCTAAATTGTTTATGCTTTTGAAGAGCAAGGGAATCGCTGTGGAAGTCCAAGACACGGTGAGTGCCTTAAAATAGACAATAGGGCCAGGCCATGGAGTGACTTCTGGTTTGAATCAAAATGCTGCACTGCATTTCACTGGGGTACAGCGCGTGCGCGCGCGCACACACCCCCTCACTGGGGTACGGCTCCCACACACACACACACACACACACACAGACTCTCTCACGGGAACACAGGGTTCCACAGGCTTCTCTGTCGTTTCCAGTTCATATGATAGTGATGGTTTGAAACTCTAAGAGCTCTGAGTGCTACGTATTGAAGTGGTAACACAGAGTGCTGCAATGATTTACACTCTACCCACTGGAGAGATGTATCACTGGGGATCGTTGTTACCAGGTCATTGCTGAGGAGTCTTCATGATTTATCTTAATAGCAGGGTTCTGATTTAGCTTGCATTGTACTGACTGTTGTCTTCTTTACTATGCAGCCAAATGCCTGTGCAACCTTTAATTTCTTAACAAGTGAGAAAAGACACACAGCAGCAGCACTCATCCCCCCTCACTACCTCCCAGGAGAGCTAGAGTAACTTGTGGCGGTATTCAAGAAGCCTTTCCTCAGATTGTACAGAATAATTAAACTCTTCATGATGCAAAGATGCTGCAATTATTGTGTTTGGGTTAGAGTTATTGGTTTTTGCTAGATGGGGTGGGTGTGGGGGGGTGTGGAAGATGGGTGACTGGAACCGAGTCCATGATCAGTGAATGGCAACAAAGACTCGAGGGGCCAAATGGCCTACTCCTGTATTTTCTCTGATCCTTCATTTGGGGAAAATCGCAACTGTCGGAGTGGACGAAGCCCCTATTTGCATAGTCAGTCATTTCTTATGGCCTCAGCACTCAGCAGCCTTGAAGCTCACCTCTACCCAAAACTGAACAAATATGAGGAAGGCAGGCAAGGGCTGCACTGATGGAACGAGTGTTGAGATTGGTTAATATTCCACATGAAACTCTTGTGAATGAACAAAGTCAATTAATCAGATTCAAGTTTGTCTACAATACTGAAGACCCACATTCAAATCCCATCTGCTCCGCAGGTGCATCATAATACACCTGGACAGGTTGAGTAAAAATATCTACAAAACTTTTTGACACTTCCTTTTAGCAATTTGACAGATTTTAAAAATTCATTCACAGGACATGGGTGGTATGGGCTAGGCTCAGCCCTAATTCAGGACAGTCCCAGTGAATTTAAGGTGAAGTCAAAACAAACACTTGTTTTATCCAAATCTCCACCCACCAACTGACTATCATAAAACTACAGACTTCCATTGAGTGCTGAGAAGACAGAAACTGCAGGTAGAAATATTGTATACACCTGGAGTAATGTGTTCAGTTTTGGTCTCCTTAAGAGAAAGGATTTTTTTTTTGCCATAGAGAGAGTGCAACGAAGGCCAATTCCTGGGATGGCAGGACCTACCGACAAAGACTGGATCAGTTAGGACTATATTCACTAGTGTTAGAAGAATGATGGGAATGGAAGTAAGGGGTGTGTGGTATCTCGGAAACCTATAAAATTCAAACAGGACTGGACAGGGTAAACTTGGGATTGATGCTCCCAATGACCACGGTGTCCGGAACCCAGAGGTTACTGTCTCAGGAGAGAGCGTAAACCATTTAGGACTGAGATAAGGAGAAATTTCTTCAACCAAAGTGGTGAGGCTGGGGAATTCTCTGCAGAAAGTTGTTAAGGTCAAAACATAAACTGTCTGCAAGAAAGAGTTAGATATAGCTCTGAGGGCTAAAAGGATCACAAGGTATAAGGAGAAAGCAGGATCAGGGGACTAAGTTGAATGAGCAGATGTGATCAAATTGAATGGTGGGGCAGGTTGTTCGAAGTGTCAAATGACCTATTCCTGTTTCTGGTTTCTAGGCCACTAACGAGTTTGAATTATTCAATCGTCATTTTTGATAAAGCAACTGTTTCCAGTGGCGGGGAGGAGTCAGTAATAAGGGAGATACAACTGGAGTCTCATTGCCTCTCCTTTCATTCAGGCCTCAAGATGAAGTCACTTTTCTGATTAGTCTGCACCAAGCACTTTTGTTTTGAGACCCTATAACTGTCCATCATGAACCAACATCAGGAAGTATTTACAGGGCTATTTGGCTGTGCAACTATCATCGCAGAAACTGGTAAGCACTCACAGGTGAACAGTCTGAGTACTGATCTGAATTGGCCAGTTTAAACACTCTGTATCCCACAGGACTGGCACAGGATGGGGGTGGAATCACTGCTGAGGGGAATTGGTTCCTTTTTCTCATAGAAGCCTAGCCCAGGTTAAGGTAGAAAGTGTCAGGTTCAAGCCGTTTCAGCCAAATTGTTTTTTAATACAAGTTCTAACAGTGTCATCACAGGCTTATGTATAAAGTTCTCTGCCTGAAACAGCAGTGGCTTCAGCAATTTAGATCACAATCAGAACCCTGTGTAAGACAATGAATCAGTTATCACAACCAATAATCCAATCTGTGAAACGAATACCATGCTCTCCAACGTTTTGAACCATTCATTATTCTGCACAAAAGAAAAGGATCTTCTCCTCAAACAGCTACACAGATGTGTCTGAACGTTGTGTTTTCACAATGTCTGTTCCACAACATTTCAGAAAGTCAGTGCACAAGTGACAGATGCAAAGGCACCAGCCAAGGTAATAAACACACCGTGTTAACACACCATCCTCTATCTGAGAGCAAACAAACTGATGCAGTGACACAGTCACTGAGATTCTCACTGTTGAAGTGCCACACTCAGTCGCCTCTTTCAGATTTAAAGGTGCAGATTAAATTACACCAAACAATCTCATTTCACTTTTAACAAAAATGAAACAAATCTTGTAAAATTATCTGCAAACACAGCAGTCAGAGATATCAGACAAGCAGAACCAAACAGCTATAGGGTGAATGCCAGAGGCACAGACCCCTCTCCCATAGTGTTCCAATACTGAGAGGTTGAAATGGAATTTTCAAAATTTAGCTGGAGATGAGTAACGAGGAACAGAATCCTGGAGTGAGACTGGGATTTCTCCAAAAGGATTTAGAAAAGTCTCTTCTCGTATCTGGATAAAAAAAAAGGAAAAGAAAAATCACAGGCTCGATCTACATATTCAGTGGCTCTTTGCTATCCAATCAGATACAAACAAGGAGCAGGCCTAGGCCATTCGGCCCGTCAAGCTTGCTCCAATATTCAATAAGATCATGGCTAATCTGAATACTTCATATTGAAACCTGATAACTTTTCACCCCTTCATTTATCAATAATCTATCCACTTCAGTCTTAAAAATGTTCAAGAATTCCTTTCATTAGCTTTTCAAAGACTCTCTAGCCTTTGAGAAAAACTTCATGTTATCTAAAGGACAACCCTGATTTTTAAACAGTGATCCCCAACTCCAGATTCTCTCATAAGAGGAAATGTCTTCTCTCCCATCTATTCTGTCAAGGTCGCTCAAAGATCTTATATTTTTCAAATAAGTCACCTCTTATAATCTACTTCTGATTTTATGGAACCCCATTGAAGGGATTACTTGAAGCTGAGAAAGCCTTGACTATTCACAATTAAGCTTAGAAAGAGGTGAACAAACTTTCAAGATCAGGAACTCAGAAGACACAGTTCGGTCAAACCAATGGATGTGATAGATAATTTTCTCTGGAGTTTGAGTACTATGAAGGAATAGGCTGTTGGGATAGATAGAATATTGTATTTTATTACTTCAATTTTTTTTAAAAAATTGAGTACATATAAGAAGACTTACACTATTTCATTATTTTCTTTGTGAAATAACAGTTTTATTGTTAATGACACAATGCTACAGATTGGTTGTGTGTTTTAGTGAAAGACCATCTTGTTAAATTTAAAAAAAAACAAGCCAGATTTCAGTCTGAGGTCTGACTTGTCTGTTAACATCATCAGCAGAGATCATAACAATTGGCTAAACATCTTTTCTGAAGAAGGGTCTAGGCCCGAAACATCAGCCTTCCTGCTCCTCTGATGCTGCTTGGCCTGCTGTGTTCATCCAGCTCTACACCTTGTCATCTCTGGCTAAACAGGAGTTTCTTTTCACAAAACCATGTTGACTCTGCCTAATCACTTTGAATTTATCCAAGTGCCTGGCTCCAACTTCTTTAATAATAGCGTCTCATTCCACACTGTAGGGATTCTATGAAATATAAAGCTATGGGCCAAGTACTGGAAAACAGATTTGGAATAGATAGATAACACAGTGTGGAGCTGGATGAACACAACAGGCCAGGTAGCATCAGAGGAACAGGAAAGCTGACGTTTTGGGTCGGGACCCTTCTTCAGAAATTTTGAAGAAGGGTTCCAACCCAAAAAGTCAGCTTTCCTGCTCCTCTGATGCTGCCTGGCCTGC